ACCACGAACGCTTGTGTTATGTTCCTCCCGAGATCCCGAGATCCGTTACATAGACATTACGGTGTGAACGCTAAGCGTAATTGAGTTCTTAGTATTTTGGGTATGCAGAAGGAGAAAAATAGAATATCATTCCTCATTCTTGGTGAAGACGGAAGAACTCTTTTCGAAGTCTAAATGTGAATCTATGAAGGGAAGGATGCAGTCCTCGTTTAGCCATCGATTACGCAGCACAGAAGATTCGTGAGAATGCGAACGCTTCGATGGTAGATGTCATCAGAGATATGCGAAATCAAAGATATCAGGCTATCCAGTCAGCGATCCAATACGTCTACCTTCATATATGTGTACTCGAAATATTCGCAGGAGTAAGTTCAACTTTATTCTTCTCCATCCTATTTAAATTGATTCTATCCTGGAATAAGAACAGATAGCTTAGAGGCATAGCTGTAGGGATGGGGTCTTTCCACGGTACATCACATTTCTTGAGGGCATTGAATATTTGACTGCACACAATGTAGCTGTGTTCTCCGGTCCTTATGTTGACATACTTTCGGCAAACTGAAACTCACTCTACCTTTAGAGGTCCGCTATCAGAACTCTTGTGAGCGAATGAAAAGGATGCCCGTTTCCCCTCCACACCAACACCATTTCGCGTGCTCCATACATTCGGCTGCCTTCCATAGTCGTAGAGGTGTTGCATGTAAACCCGTGATGGCCTAAAAACGGTAACGATGCGTTCCTAATAGGCTCTCATCCCACGAATATATTCAAGTTTGTTGGAATGAAGTGAGATTTGTCGGACTGTTCTACCGTAATGTGAAATCTCTGATTTCAGGACGGCGCTATTCCAAGAGATTCGAAATTCAATGAATATATGGAAAGCTATGTGTCAATGATCAAACGCTATAATAAAAAGGTGGAAGCGAAACAACGTGAGCGGGAGAAGAATGAAGAAAAGTGAGAGAAAAAAAAGAAGGCTCACGTCACAAGCTCTCAAGATATTTCCGACTTAAATTCGTCCGAACATTTCAATGACGTGATAACATGCTAATTCTAATTGTATTACTGCTCATCAATGTAAATGAAATCGATAGTAAAGTCTGTGGATTGAAATAACACAGGTAGAAAACGGACTCTTTGGCTTGAAGAAAATTTGCCCAGTTAGGGGTAAGTGTAATGTGAGTTACGTAGGGCAATGAGCAAATCTACAGGGCGTGCTCAGGAATCTTCTGTCAGAGGTGTATTTCCATCAAACTTCTGTGCAGAAAATGTGTTACTCCTTTTTAGAACCCTTTGATCGAGAAGAGACTTACCCTGAATAGGCTATACTCTACTGCATACTTTTATGAGTTTGGACCTCCGCGTCGCCTAGTATACCAGCAGTTGTTACCTATGGTCCACCTCAGACACCACCTCCCAATCTACTGTGTCTACATTGAATGGGATGACAACGTTATCAAATTCCAGTGAGTATAGGGTGAAGGAAAAAGTCCTGTCGTGCTGGCGGATTCCGTGAGTGAGTGGCCAATTCCGTTTGGCAATGCGCCACTGCATTCAACTTTCATTCGAAATCGTAGGGGAGTACAGAGCGCGTAATGGTCTACAAGATGGTATGTGGTGGTCGAGGTTTAGGTCAGGGCTTCCATCCTCCCAGGCGATCTGACACCATTCAACCGACCCCCGAGGATCGGAAGACATGATTGACTTATTTATTGACGTGTATGCGTAATAACTTCGAACCCCTTGACCATGCATGTGAAAAAGAGCATCTCCGAATTCAGCAGAATTTCCGTAGACACTATATTTTATTTCACGGTATGAACTTATTTGAATGTACAAATTTTCACCCGCCACATATACGACGCATGGAGAAGGGGCTACGGGAAAGGACACGGGAACAATGGGATTTTTAGGGGATAGCACTCTTGAAAATGGCGCGCAAATCATGCTGCAATACAACGCTAGGGAAACGAAAGGCCTACAACCAAGACCGCTGCGCAGCCGCATGCAGGCAACGGAAGATGCTCCTCGATGCCTTCCGGTCTGTAGCACTCGTCAAGAAATAAAACGTGCGATATCATTGCTGTAAGAAGTAACAGTGAAAGACGTTTGGCAATATCATAAGGCGAAAAGGTTTTGCTGGACATACAGAGCAACAGGGACATGATCGAGGAGGGTTCAAAACCATAAAATTAATTCCAGCAAAATAGTATGTGATCGAGGGGTTAAAGGAGACGATATTTCACGGTTAACAACGTCGTACTGTGGAATGAAAAGTTTAAAAACGACAATCGACAACGAAGGATGGCAAACGGACGTGGTAGTAGGTGATATCGAATGATATCGGTTAATGGTAATCTGAAGTAAGACTCCTCAATTTATGTCATAAACCAGAAGGTCAATGCAAAAAGAACGTCACCGCCCGGTCGAGGACAAACATGTGAAGCACTGAAAACATCGTCGCTCTTAGATTTGATCAAGTCCTCGATTTTCATGATCTTCGCGTCGAATACCATTGAAATTCATGTTTTCATCATAAAAACACAAATGAGTACAGCATTGACATCTAGATCTCAACATATGTGGGAATACCTCGAAATGTCATTGACTTTTGAATAAGATACAACTTAAATTTTCGTACAAACAATGGTAGATCAAATCGGAAATCGGTATTGATTACAGCGGCTCGATCGATGTAGGACAAGGATAGATGTTCAAGTTCAACACCGCACAGTACTGGCAGTTGAATACCTAAACTCAAAGCAATCAGAGAAAACCCATTCTGTGGGAGGAGAATCGGGTTCCAGCGGATTTGAATTTGATCCTTTGTGCATTTTCAGGTGTATCCATGATGAGTGGCTAAAGGGTCTGACATCCAGTGGCACCTCGCCAGAATTTGCTCTCTCATACATCTTGTGAACCCTGACTCAACCCCAATTTACACTTCCCTCCTCCTCCCTTTCACTTCCACCCTTACCTGTAGGGTGACGAACTTTTTATATCAACCTTCGCTGCCGTACGTATGCATGCGGCAGGAGAGAGAGCCGTCTGGCGCCGCCCATTCGACTCGGTTTCTAAGCTGGACAACTCGTCCAGGTGATGATTTTCGCGACAATTACAGTAATTATCAAGTGAAATTCGAATATTACACTTACACTTTGCGATTCGATACCTTTTATGTTCCTGGCAGGGAGGTATATCCCCAACCCTTACCTTTGCACCCTCGATATCATCTTACTCCATATCCGCGCCGCACTCCTACCTACACCCCCACTAGTGGTGACGAATGGATGACCCGCTTATTAGGTCTGCGCACAGGTTCCTTCTGGTGTGATTTGAAAGATGTGATCAACTCCGCTGAATTTCTTTTCGTGATGAGGAACAGCCGGACTCAACTATAAATTTTCGAAAAGGCGTGCTAACCTCTTCTGTTCCATGCAAAGCGGATTCGTTTCTTGACTTGAGGCCATAGCACTCGTGGAACGATGAAAGAGACGAGTTTCTCAATAGGTTTCGATAGGACTCCTCCAACTGCTAACTGAAAATGAATCGGAATGAGAATGGTCATGATGAATGCTATCGCCGGACTTACGTCATATACTTTGACATCGACATTAGTGAGAGCGATATCGCCATATAGTCGTGAATGTCTGATAGTCGGTTTCAACTATAAAGCAATCAGTAATCATTTTTAAAACGTTCTCTCATGAAAGCAAACGATTTAAGAAAATCCTGAAGCAGTTGTGGAAAAAATCTGGGTCCCAGAAAAGGGGTACAACCCGAATTCTTGCTTCCCGGGCATTACCCTGTCCCTTAGCCCGCATGCAGATGAACCCCAGGTGCGTTTGTATCACACACTAGAATGAGAAATCCATGGGCGGTCCCATACTCTTCTTTTCTGTGCCATGAGGTAGTGTAGAAGCGTCATACTGTGATACAATGGATCAGATGAAAATCTTGTTCAGGGCCTCACAATTTTTCTTTGAAGGCACAGTTCACGATAATTTTGAGGCATCTGATTTTGGACGTTATGATGTCAAATAGTGCGAAGGTGAAGAAGGGAGCGCGAAGATCGGAGGATTCAGGAATGTAAGGAATCAAAAAAAGTAGTAAAGAAGGGTATTTTCTCTCGAACACTACTGTACCTTCACTTCTTTGGATCCACCGGTCTTCGCGCTCTCGCCGTCAGTATGATGATAGAGGCGGCAGAGGATGCACTTGGACAAGATCTCAGTTGCGGGGTGGGGGGGTTGGAAATGGCAAAAGTTGCGGTTCGGGTCACCCACACCCATAGTACTAACGGCACTATTTCTAGCATGAAATTAGTTTTCTCGATAAAGAAAAAAGAAGCGTAAAATTGCAGGTCCCGTGTAAATGCGTCGCCGTCTGTAAAGTCTGAGTGTCTTCCAAAGAAATAAAAATAGTGTACAAATAGGCGTATTGCTCGTTGTCACCCTGAAGCTTCATTATTAATGGTGTAGTTTCATCAATCAGACAGACACGCCCTTTTTTAGGTATGTACGTCGACCCGACCGGTGGTGAAACCCACATTACACCCTGCCTGAGCAGTTTCGACCCACCAATGTCCCATGTACGATCCTTGTGGGCCACAGGTCCATCCTAGTAGGGAATCGCGGATAGTTTCTTCCACGATGGAGCGAGACAAAAATAAGTGATGTATTGGGCTGTAACATAAGTTCGTAGAGTTTTTTCCACAAAGATTTATTTGAATCAAAAAACAATAATTATAATAATAATTTAACCAATGATGTATCCTCCGTTACTGTTCATGACCTCTTCCTATCTCTCGACCAATTTGTTGATGGCGATTCGCCGAAAATCGGCCGTTGTGGTGTCGAAGAATTTGTTGGGCCAGTTTTTAAGGTCCCCTTCGCTCGAAGGTAACACCCCTCATTGGGTTTAACATAGAGCGGAAAAGGTGATAGTCGGCAGGTGCAAGATCCGGAGAGTGCGGTGGATGCTGAAGAACCTCCCATTCAAGCTCTTGGAGTGCTGTTTTGACGACTTGAGCAATATGGGGCCTGGTGTTGTCGTGGAGCAAGATGGCTTGACCTTGAC